GAATCCAAGGGATCGCCCACATCAACAAGCGGTTTTTGATAAGCAAGTAAGTTCCCAATCTTGTAATCAGGAAAACGCGCCTGCAGCCAACATGCGACTTGAAAATGACTCGAATGGATAGCTCTATCCACCGCTTGATTAGTGTGTGAATTGGGGCAATTCAAGTACAACCACTACACCGTCGCGGAGTGACCGTTTTCTGCTGCAACGTACATCGCTTCTGAGCTGCATTTCTCTGGGAAATTCAAATGCAACCACTGGACCACATCCAGATGCCCGAGCTTCGCAGCTTGGACCAGGATCATATTTGTGCAGCCTTCAGTTCGGTGCTGATGCAGCCATTTTGTCACCTCTAGGTGTCCGTACTTAGCAGCAATATCGATGCTGTCAGGCAAGCATTTCTGTGAACGATTGGCTTGGATCCACTCGAGTATTTCTATATGACCAGATTTGGCAGCCCAATAAATGGGGTCTTTCGCATGTACCCACCACGAAATGGGGGGATCGATACGTCTTCGCTTTGTCTCTACATCTTCGTACGACATCGTTGAGTCCACTTCATGGAAAAACTCAAGCATCGCTAGGTGTCCGTACTCTGCGGATTTGTCAATCGCTTCGCCAGTCTTTCTGTATTCATCAAACGGAAAATGTCCAAGCAACCACTCCACAGAGCTCACCTGGCCTTTATCAATAGCATTATGCATAGCGAGTAAGGATCCGTCAGTCAATCCTTGATCAAACAGATACTGCATCACGGCAACATGACCTTCCTTAGCTACGAGGGCGAGAGGAGCCGAGTGGGGCTCGTATGTTGAAATATTCTCACATGCTTCTCGCCTTAAGTGATGTTCTACCAGCCACTGGACGATAGCAACGTGGCCGCGAGTGCACGCAGCTAGTATTGCGTACCCCCACGCTTTTGCCCAATGTTCATGATTGTCAGGAAGCGGAGAATGAAGCTGAAAAATCTGCTGCAGAAGCTCCAAACTGCCTCGAAGTGCTACGTTTTCAATAGCGGAAACCGCAAGTTGAGCGTCTAGACGCAGGTATCCGCAATCCAATAACCAGTTGACCACTTCCACATGCGAACAGCCAGTGGCATAGTCTAGTACGCATTTACCAACTGGAACGAGAGATTGTGCCAGCTCAGTATCACCAATTTCCAGGGCATATTTAATCGCAGATTTTAAATCGTCACTTCCAAGTTCATCTAGACACTGCAACAATTGGTCATTCTCAACTGTTTTTTTTTCGTTGCAGTAGCTCCCCACCGCGGTTTTCGGCGAAGCCAGCCAGGGCTCAACCGCACCGAGCATTCAGGATGAGACCGTTGACCGGACCTACGGCCCCATAAGAACTGCAACACACACAGATGTCCCTTTCGAACGGCATCGTAAACTACACTCTCAGGAGCTTCACAGCCCGAAAAATGCTCAAACAGCCACTTCACTATATGTAAATCACCTCGAGAAGCTGCAACTTCTAGCGACTTTTCAAATTGCCAGCGGTGGTAATAGGGATCGGAGCGTAGATAATTGGTGAGACACCAGAAAGATTTTCTGGCATCTTTCCGGGTGGGGCACTCGTTCCAAATCCAATCGAGAAGTATTGTTGATCCAAAGCGACATGCCTCATGAAATGGGAGGAGAATCGGTGGTCCTTGGTACCTAGAGATGACTCCAGAGCTTTGCTCTAACGCCAAGACACGATTGTCGTGCTGCAACGAAATCTCCACAGACTGGAGCATCGTGACAGCTTAGGGGTAAAAGAAAACAAAATCAAGATCCATCATCACT